AAACTTAACCGAATCAGCCGAAAAATCATTCGGCTAATTTTTATCAGGTGTTTCAGGAATTATGATAATAACAGTAAACCCGGTTTTAATCGGTTTTGGCATATGAAAAACAAACCCGGTTCCAAATTTTATCCCAAAAGTAGTACGTATAGGTTATTATGTAATCAAAAATGTATCTCATGTAATACTGCATCGATATACATAAAAAAGCATTTACTTTAGATTTTATCGGATCATTTTTTCATTTGAAACATTCCACTTAAACATAATACCAACAATGATTCAAATTCTACGAAAATTAAATCTTACGATATCCGACTTCTTTGTTATATGTTTAATTTCGATTATAAGTTATATTATTTATCTAGCAGTAAAATATCCAGATCGTGCAGTAAGAACAAGATCTAGGAAAGATCTCGTTGGGCCTAAGGGCCTTCCAATATTTGGAAATTTTTTCTCACTTTTAAGAAGAAAAACTTATATTCATTACCAACAAGTTCTGGCAGATAAATATGGATCACTTTTGTATTATTAATTTTTATAATAAGTATTATTGAATTGCTATTGAAGAATATATATATATATGTATTTACATAATAATAATAATAGTACAATTACATTTCTTCAATTTGGCCGAGTGATTGTCTCAAATGAACCACAAACAATAGAACATATTTTAAAAAGTAAGTATTATAAATTAAGAGTTGACACGAATATATATCAAGAGTTAACTTTAATAATTTTAATACTAATTAAACATGTATATTTTAAATTAAGCGGATTTTGAGAATTATGGAAAAAGTGATATTTTACGTGAAATGGGTTATGAAATTTTTGGAGATGGAATATTTGTGATTAATGGGTTTGTATTTTACTGTAGTTATTATTTGAATTAATATGTTCAAACTATTATAATATTTATTTTTAAAAAAAATATATAAAAAAAGTCATAAATGGAAATTTCAAAGAAGAATAATAAGTCACCTGTTTCTAGGAAAAAACTTTAGAAATTTGATTTATTCATCTATAATTGGAAAATCTCAAGTGTTAATAGACATTTTAATAAAGTATGCAGATAACGGAAACCCCATTGATTTACAAGATTTATTTTACAAATTCACTATAGATACCTTTGGAGAGTAAGTTTTTATTTATATAATAATTATAGGTTATTAACCTTTATTAATAAATTTAATTTTTTCAAAAATAATAGCATGTCATTCGGAGTAGATTTTGGATGTCTAACCCATCCTGAGGAAAAATCGCAATTTGTTACTAATTTTGATTATGCTTTAAAAGTTATGAATGAAAGATTTGAGCAACCTTTATGGAAATTTATAGAAAAGTATAGTGAAAAAGGTCGAAGAATGCGTAAGGCTTGTAAATATATTGATGACTATGTGTATAATATGATAAATAATCATAAATCAGAGCTTAGGACCGGGAAGAAAACAGTGAACAATTTGTTAACTTTGCTTATGGAAGCTGTTGATGAAAATGGTAATAAATTTAATGACAAAGAATTGAGAGATGTTGTAATGAATCTTATTCTTGCTGGTATGTTTTATATATTTCTAAAAGTAAATGAAAGTAAATGAAAGAAAATGATATTAAGTTAATCTTTTTCCTTAAAAAAACGGTTAATTTATTATCAATTAGGTCGTGATACTACTGCACAAGTAAGTTATAATAAATAGTTGTAACAAATAGTATAAAAACAGAATTAAACTTCGAGTTAAATAGGCTCTATCTTGGATGATGTACTCGATCATGGCAAACCAGTCTGTTGAAACCTTATTGCTTCAAGAAATTGATTCACTTCTTTCTGGAGAAACGCTTATCCCATCGTATGATGATATTAAGTTATTTAAATATACTACAGCTACGTTCTATGAAACTCTTCGGTTATATCCTATCGTTCCAGTAAATGAAAGGGTAATAAATTTAATTGTATGTTTTTGTAAAGCTACTGTTTGTTTCATTACTTATATCTTTTTATGAACAAAAGATCTGTGTTAAGGATAATGTTCTGCCTAATAACATTCCAGTATTTGTTGGAGAATATGTAGAATATAACCTCTATATAATGGGAAGAGATAAAAAAATCTGGGGTGAAGATGCTAAAGAATTCAATCCCAAAAGATTTTTAAATTCAGAGGATGGTTTAAGACCAAATAAATTCAAGTTTGCTTCATTTCATGCTGGTCACAGAACTTGGTGAGTATTAATTACAATATTACTTGATTTCACTTTTATATAAATTTTTAATTTATTTTAATAATTATAGTTTGGGTCAGCAATTTGCAACTTTTGAAGTAATTATACTTGTAGCAATGATGTTGAAAAAATTTAAATTTGAATTAGTGCCTGGGCAAAAATCACCACCGGAATTTAAAGATGACATTTCATTACCGATGAAGGATCCTCTTATGACTAAAGTGTCATATAGAACTAAAAATTGATATACATTTTATGTAATATTTTACTTTTTAGCGTTATACGTTCATTAATTTCATAATTATTAAGAAAACTGTTTCATGAGTTTATATACACTATAATGCAAAGCATAGAACTATTGTAGCTAACAATTATGATTTATCTAATTCATTTATTTTGTGTCTCAAGAAATGCCTGCAAAACTTATTGAATATAATTATCAGGTCTCTTTTTCAACTTAAAAATTATTTATATTCTATTGATCTTTCTTACAAAAACAACATTTATGAATAAAGTGTAATTGTGGCAGATTAAAATGAAATGAGCGATAGTGCAAAATAAACAAGCCACCGAAAGATACAAATTTCTATGAGCAGTGAGTTTTAGGGATCAGACAGAAACGCTCTTATTACATTTTAATCCGATTTCATTACGATCCACGACAATCATTAATGAGATGATTGCGCAACGCAGTTGCACAAAACCAGGAACGGATTTTAAAAGGTTAATTATAATAGCTTGTTACTAGATGTTAGACGCGTCATTAAATGATAGGTAGGATTAAATCATATTTCATAATTTTATAATAGAAAATCTATTGTAATGATGGTGATATGTAGGTTTCTTCAATATTCCACATGATAGAGTAAATAAAGATGGCAGCCATGTGAGTTTTAATCAACTATCAAGCTTGACATGAAATTAAATAATCATACTGATAGTTAAAGCTAAAATAAGAAACGCTATATTATAACTCCATTCTAACAGCTCTTTATGGCTAGCATTTAAAACTTTACGAGAAATTACTTGGCAATGAAAATAGAAACATGCATTGACACAGTTTTAGTGAATTTTTTAATTAATCAATTCCTTCTTTTCTTTCTTATTTTGTGCTAGACTTCAAGTGAGAAATTAAATGAATCTCTACAATTATTTAGTTGAAATAACATATAATATTGTAAATTTAAACACTATGGTGTTTTATTAGTTTGTCTTCGTTATTATTAAGGTTGGCACGGACCGGGCAATGGTCAAGCTTGACCAGACCAGGTGATCAAAGGGTTTAGTATTGGTAAAATTGGTCAAAGGATATTTATTTATATATATATTTATTTTGCATACTAAATTTATTTATATAATAGATGACCATTTGACCAATTTGACTGGACCAGTTTGACCAATGAATTTTTTAGTCGACCAGTGATTTGACCAACCCTGCATTACAGAATTAGCCAAATTAGATGATGATAATTAAATTTATAGTTATGCATTTAAATTAGAAAGAACTTACAAAGTAAATATATATATATAGTTAAATCAAAAATTAAGTAATTGTGCATTTTCGTGTAAATATATGAAAGTTTATAAAGTGAATATTTTTTCTTTAAAGTTATCTATACGAAACTTGGTGATTCTAACTAACCAATCAGAATCGGCATTTTATCCCTAATTAAATTTAGTCTCAGCGCGTTTTTTAAAAAAATATATTTTTTTTCAAACCCTACCAGTAACTGATAATAGTTTATCCTGATAATCCGGGTAATTTAATAATACCCGGGTAGGGATTTTCTCAATGGAACCAGCCTTAGTATTCTAACGGCTTAGTGTTATGATGATCATTCTAACAGCTCTTTATGATTAGAGTTAGGGTGAGAAAGTTCGTATTATAAAAACTCTTTATGGTTAGTGTTGTGAAAGTTCGTATTATGTATAATGTTCTTTATGGTTAGTGTTAGGATGTGAAGTTCGTATTATGAAAGCTCTTTATGGTTAGTGTTAAGATAAGAAAGTTTGTGAGAAAGATCGTATTGTAAAAGCTAGTGTTAGAATGTGAAAGTTAACCCATCTAATCTTTTTTTGCCGGTATCGTTTCTGTTTAATTACGGATCTACTTTTTTATTGGCTTCGTCTTTACTCGTGATCCGTCACATTTACTTATCAGTCGATCAAGATGTCATATTGGGGTGTGCATTAAGTAATTAAAAACTTAAAATTGATGTCCGCGATTTTACAGTAATTTTTTTTTTTTTAACCTTTATAATTATAATTGATATATTGTGTTATCTAGAGGGCGCAAGTAAGATCAGGAAAAATTTATTGCAATTACAAATTTACGACTTTTTTTTTGAATAAATCCAAATATCTTGCATACATATAAAAATTTAAAGATTCCTCTTTTATTTTCGCTTTTCCCAGTGAAATATCTAGTAATACATAGAAAATTATTGTTAGTTTGACCAAATAACATTGAGAACTCCAGTCTTTTTTTTTGTTAGGCATAAAAAAAATAAATTCCCAATGTTATTTGGCCAAACTAGCAATAATTTCCTACGCATTAGTAGATGTTTTACTGGGAAAATCGAAAATAAAAGAGGAATCTTTGAAATTTTTATTTGTGAGCAAGATATTTGGATTTATCAACAAAAAAAGTCGTAAATTTGAGAAATTTTTAAGATTTCCATGTGAAAGTAATTTGAAAAGCGCAATCATTTTCATCAACAATATAATATATCAAGTCGTAGTGAGATAAAGGTTTGGTTAGTCGCAATGTTTTATCAATTAAACGTAAAGGTATGTAATAATTTATTTATATTATCAGTTATGTACTTATTAATGTATCTATTCATATTTATTAAATTAACAGCTTCCATAAGCAAAGTTAGCAAATTGGTCATTTTATTCCCAGCTTTAAGATTGGATTTATGATCATTTATCATATTATACACATAGTCATCAATATATTTGCAAGCTTTGCGCATTCGTCGACCTTTTTCACTATACTTTTCTATAAATTTCCATAAAGGTTGCTCAAATCTTTCATTCATAACTTCTAAAGCATAATTTAAATTAGTAACAAATTGCGATTTTTCCTCAGGATGGGTTAGACATCCAAAATCTACACCGAATGATATGCTATTATTTTTTTAAAAAAAATTAAATATATTAATAAAAGTTATTAACATAGAATTATATTCAGAATTATATAAAGAAAAACTTACTCTCCAAAGGTATCTATAGTGAATTTGTAAAATAAATCTTGTAAATCAATGGGGTTTCCGCTATCTGCATACTTTGTTAAAATGTCTATTAACGTTTGAGATTTTCTAATCATAGATGAATAAATCAGATTTCTAAAGTTTTTCCCTAGAAACATGCGACTTATTATTTTTCTTTGAAATTTCCATTTATGCCTTTATTTTATATATATTTTAGATAAGTATTATAAAGTTTGAGCATATTTATTCAAATAATAACTTTAGTAAAATACAACCCATTAATCACAAATATTCCATCTCCAAAAATTTCATAACCCAATTCGCGTAAAACATCACTTTTTTCATAATTCTCAAAATCCGCTTAATTTAAATATACAAGTTTAATTATTATTAAAATATTCAGTTAACTCATGATTTAGAGTACTTACATTTTAAAATATGTTCTATTGTTTGTGGATCATTTGAGACAATTCTTCGACCAAATTGAAAAATTGTATATGTACTGGTTTTTTTTATATATTATATATTTAAATATATAGAAATGAGTATATTCTTTAATAGCAATACAGTAATACAATAAATACTTATTTAAAAATTAATAATACAAAAGTGGTCCATATTTATTTGCCAAATCTTGTTCGTAATGAATATAAGTTTTTCTTCTTAAAAATGAGAAAGCATTTCCGAATATTGGAAAACCCTTAGGCCCAACGAGATCTTTCCTGGACCTTGTTCCTAATGCACGATCCGGATATTTTATTGCAACGTAAACAATATAACTTATAATTGAAATTAAAAATATAACAAAGACATCGTGTATCGTTAGATTTAATTTTTGTAGAATTTGAAGCATCGTGAAATGTTTAAGTAGAATGTTTCAAATGAACAAAGGATGATAAAAACTCGAATAAATGCTTTTTATACTTATCAATCTAAATACCCGAGGTACATTTTGATTAATAATGCCCCTTTAAGCAGTTCAGACTTTTCATTGGCATATTTATCTTAATATAGCTTTATTCGGCTTAGTAAATTACAATACCATGTGCTGAAAAAGGTCTAAACCGAAGTGGACAATCTTTACTACTTTTGGGATAGTTTGGAACCTGATTTTATTTTTCATATGCGGGAGAGTGAAAACCTGGAACTTGAAATTTGGTTATGATCGGCGTTTTACTACTGAAATTATGCAAAACACACCAAATTTAAAGTTGATTTTAACATATCAATATGAAAGTAAAATTGATTCCAAACTCTGGGATTGTACATTACAGTATACTGATACATAATTAAAATCTATTGATTGGATGTATATGCAAAATGTGTCGTAATTTATTTACATAAAAGAATAATTGAAAATTTTAATATTTGTAAAAACTGTGCTCTTACAATATACGTATATAAATTTTCAATAGACTTCGCAAAATTAAAGAATTTGAGGAGAACATATCTGACTAATAAACAATTTATTCGGTCTTTTTATAATATATGTTTAATGAAAAAGAATTCTTTTTATCAAGAATTTACTATAAAGGACAATATGTTAGAATCTATATTAAATAATAAAGAAATGTACAGTACAAGTTATTCTTTTTATGGTGATCCGCTCCATAAATTGCCATATACAAGACCCAGATATCGGACCAATAGTCCCGGGTCTTTTATATGGCGTACACGATACTCCAGGGATGGTAAATGACCAAATCATTTGAGTAAATTACCTGGTCATTTGGGCCATTAGGCTACTTAGGTCATTTGCATACGTATCAGATATGAAGTAATTTTATTGATCAGATAGCTAATATAAAAAGTTATCAAACGCTGTGATTTCACTAAATGATCGTAGCTATTCACAAAGTCAAAATTTTACTAGGTTAATCAGCATTTACATCTTCAGTTAAGTTGTTCTTCGGAATAACTTAAGATCGATTAAAATATCAAGGTTTGATTTTTATATGTAGCTATGATTATCGATAATGTCCTATAAAACTTACTTTACCAGTATGTCTTATAATCAAATTTGATTGCTAAAAGGTGTTAGATTATCAGGTAACAAATGTTAAATGACCTTCTATGGTCATTTGAACGTGAAATGACCAAAAACTTATGATGATCACTTATAGACTTAAATAAATCTCTCAAAATATATAATGACGATGATCTTGCGCTAAAAATTCGTGGAACAATTTATTGTATTATAAAAAAATATGATAAATCGCTTTTAGACTTGGATAAATTTCTTGAAGAGGAGCCAAATGATACATTTGCATTAAAACTTCGTGGAAAATTTACTGTATAAATAAAGATTATAATGGTTCACTTATTGACTTCTATAAATCTCTTTATATAAGAACCATATGATGCATTTGTATTAAAACATTGTGGTGCAATTTATCTAAAACGTGTAATGGAAGAATCTTTGGATCAAAACAGTAATAATAATGAATTTGAAAAATCACTTATAGATTTAAATAAACCACTGTAATTCAACCAAATGATTTAAAAAGTTCACTAAAAATCGAACCGAATGATGCATTTACCTTACAAAACGCGATGTAACTTATTATATGAAATTATACGAAAATTCACTTGAAAACTAATAAGTCACTAGAAATCGATCCAAATAATGCCGATGCTTTGGGAAATCGTGGAAGGACTTATATATGATGATAAATTATGAAAAATCATTCATGGATTCAAATGAATCACTAAAAATCGAGCCAAAAATGCAATTGCATTAGGAAATCGTGGGGCAATTTACAGTATAATGAAAAAAATATGGTAATTCACTTGCAGATTTAATAAATCTTTGGAAATAGAACCAGGTAATGAATTTGTGTTAAAAAATTGTGGTGCAATTTATAGAATAACGAAAGGTATAAAGATTTAGATAGATCTCTTGAAATAGAACCAGATGATGTATTTACATTAAAACATCGTGATGCAACTTATCTCACAATAAAGAATAAAGGATTAGGTTACTCTTGCTTAGTGTATTATAATAAACATCATAAATTTAATAATTATGTATATGAAAAATCGCTTGCAGATTTAAATGAATCACTAAAAATTGAACCAATGATGCATTTGCATTAAGATATCGTGAAATAAATTATTGTAGATTAGATATCACTTAATGATAATTGAACTGAATGATGCATTCACGCTACAACAACGTGAGTAACTTATTATTCGATGAAAGTATACGAAAAATCACTCGAAGATTTGAATAAATCATTAGAAATTGATCCAGATAGCACCGATTCTTTAAAAGATCGTGCAAGAACCTATTATATACTAGAAATTATGAAAAATCATTCGAAGATCCAGATAATTCATTAAGAATTGTTGAGTCAAATAATGCAATTGCGTTAGGAATTCGTGGTGCAATCTAGGATATTTGAAAAATATATTCAGATTTAAATAATTCTCTTGAACTAGAACCAAATAATGAATTTGGTTTAAAAAATCGTGGTGCTACTTATTATATGATCAATGAATTTATGAGTTCACACATGTATTTAAAAAAGTCATTAACTATTAATCCAAAGAATTCATTTGCATTAGGATACCGCTGAGCAATCTACTGAGATTATAAAAAATCACTTAAATATTTAAATGGATCACTAACAATTGAGCCAAAAAATACATTCGCATTGCGACAGCGTGAAATAACTTATTTTATATGAAATAATATGATAAATCACTAGCAGATCTAGATAATTCTTTAATATTAGAAAGTCTATCTATACCCACATACAGACTTTGAGTTTAATAATGCTAAAAAGTTCAATTAATAATTAGCTGCTTACAATATCTGACTAAATATAGATATATTTAATAAAGTGTTGTTTTGTTTAAATTATATTTTAAAATTTTAAAATTTCTATAAATTTGATAAGTATTCTATTGTCAGACTATAATAAACTCCAGTGCTGGCAATTTTTGCAGCTAGTGTTCCGCAGAACCGAACCCGACCTCCGGGTCTGATATTTTATTAAAAATTCGGATCTGGGTCTTTAGTTGGATTCGAACCGAAATCAAATAACACACGCTGATTGGCCGTATTTCGGGTATTTCGGGTCGGTTCTAGGTTTTTTTTTGGCTTCGGAACCCTATCTGGACTCGACCCGATTTTTCGGTTAGGGACCGGATCCATAAAGAACCCTCCCGGAACCGGTCCGTGCGGAACTCTATTTGCTGCTAAACAATTTTTTGGCATTTAGCCAGCTAATTGGCCTTTGACCAAAGGTTCTAATTTATATAATACTGTATTAGCCAATCATATTACTGGTTTTGCTATATATGTATTTAGCACTTTTCAGCAAATAATTTTTGCACTTTTCGGTCATTGGCCGGCAAGTGGTCAAGTGACAACACATCGTTCTAATACTTACATTTATTTAAAATACTTTAGCCCTGAATAAATAGTTAACGATTAAACAAATTGAATCTAATAAAAACTTAATCAGGCTTCATTGTGTTACCAAAGGTATGTATTATTTTACTAAACCTGCCAGGATGTTTTTCCTGAGAAATATTTGCTTGTCTAATCACAAATCTTTTTATTTCAGATTTCTCCAAAAAATTTCATTCAATTATATATTGATATAATAAAAACCTTAGAGGGCATTTAAAAGAGGAATATACTTTAAAATTAGACTGGAAATATAAATAAAAATTGCTTCAGATATTGCAAAAGGCTTGAAATATATTTGTGCAGCAGATATTTAATATTATAAACTGGGCAGTAATTATTTAACTTAGTTAACAATGATTTAATTTATGCTACCAAAGAGTTTTATTATTTAAAAAGTTTATAGACCCTGTAATTTTGTGGGTTAGAAAATAAGAATAAAAAAGAATTATATTGAATAAATAGAGTTTTATTTTTCTTATATTCAAAAAATAAATAAATAAAGATTTTAACTAGATTATAATGAATTTTTTAAATCAAAATGTAATATTTCGTGTAACTGCCTAGTAATAACCTTGTAAATAGGTGGAGACCAAGGCTTAAATTTTATGCTAAGTTCAATCTCTAGTTAAATACATAATAGTAGAGAGTCCAATTTTCTTAAAATAATATTCGAAATAATTGTTATATAGAATACTTTAATATACAGATGTATGAATTTCTTTAAATGCTAAAAGTAGTATTAGCATGGCAATAAATTTTTATTAAAATGACATTGTAAAAATTACAATAAATTTATAGTATATAAAATGTATAAATATATAATTATTTGTTCGGAGCTATCATATGATTATTGTATATCACGTGCATATGCAGACATTTATTGTGGCAGATTAAAATGAAATTGAAATTTTTCTATTTTTTTAGGAAAATTTAAAATTTTTTGGGGGACATTTGTTAGGGTTAGGGTTAGTGTTAGAGTTAGGGTTTAGAGTTAGTTTTATTAATAAAAGAGTATAAGTGGGTTTTATAAGCTCTAAAGATGAGCAAGAAAGGTCCCCAGTTTCATTTTAATCCGATTTCATTATGATCTGCCACATTTATTATACTCTACAATTACATATTTAATATGCATATATTTAATAAATTGACATCACAAATATTAATTTAATGCAAATACAATATTAAATACAATCTTTTTATTGTTATTACTCTTGCCCAAGTTCATGTTCATGCTCTTTAATTGTATTGGTGATTTGCAATTCTTCCTTTCTTTCTTCAATTAAAAGCATACGTTTGTCATATTCCAACCTTTCCATTGGTGTCATCAATAGCTCATCGCTACTTTTTGTATCATTTTTATCTAAACTACTTTTGGTTGTTCTTTGTGGTTTTCTATTTTTGGAAGTTTGTATAGAGCATTTTTTTGTTGAAGTACTAGCTTTCGATTGCCTGTTAGCTATTAAACTTATATACATTAGAAGTTTATATAATTATGTAATTTATTAAATTTATAATTAAAATAATTTTACTTACTGCTTCGTTTAATAGCTGAAATTTTTCGCTTAATTCCACTTTTATCATGTCCGCTAAGATCAATATTATAGTTTTTTTTTAACTTCTATTCTCTTAAAATATCGCATATCTAACTTTTAGCCCCTGAAATTAAAAAAAAAAATACAGCTGTTGTTAAAAAAAAATCATTTACCAGATTTGGTCTTTAAAAAACCTGATAATTATATGTACTATATATGTAATTGCATATGTATGCACGTATTATATTTAATACATATTGATAGCAATCAGTTTTTTAGAAACCAAACTAGATAAATAATAAATAATCTCAAAAGCTTAGTGCTAAGCCTCATCTTTTCTTGGCACAAAAAAAGTAATAACCTTAATATTGCTGTCATTAATTTAAGTTGTTTTCCTTCCTGATTGCTCATTGAATATGCTGCTTCTGCACAATTCATGCTATTAGGTGCTGCATACCAATTATTGTAAGAAATTTTTGAGATATTTGGATTAAGTGATGCGATGATATAAGGTTTTTGATAAAATTGAACCCAATCTAAAAAAAAAATAAATTTAATTATTTTTTCTTTTAAATAATTAAATTATATATATATATCCAAAATTATTTACCAGTAAGATTTTCATGTATTAATAATTTATTAAAAATAAGATTCACTTTTTCCACTGTTGCTGTTAACAAAGATTCCATTTCTATTTTAATTTCAGATGCAAATCTTTTTTCATGTAATTTTCTATATGTAATATAATTACAAAACAATAATTTAATAAATTATAATATTATATTGTATACAAAGAAGTTATAAAAAAAATTAATTTACCTTTTAAAATGAACTTGACATGATTTATAAATATATTACAAATGCTCTTTCCAACTATAAGAACTATCAATCGAAGCTAATATTTCACCTAATCTAATTATTTGTGCTATATCCAAATCACCAACTATACAACTCCAACCACTTCCATGAATATGTTTGAATTTTGGTGGTTGTCCAGTAAAAAATTTAATAAGATCAAAAAAAGTTTCAAACTTTCGCTTGTATGCAATAGTAGTAGCCTGATTAGTAAATATTCTAGCAAATGTTAAAACTTTAAATTTAAATAAATTAGTATTTAATTTTATTATATATTAAATAAAACTAATTATATAAAATTAACATTACTATACCTGTATTTGAAGCTTTATCATAATAAATTATTTCAAATTCATTTATATTTCCAGCAACTCATTTAAATAAGAGATCAATTTCAAAATAATTGCATTGAATCCATTTTTGTATTTGTATTTGTGTTGTGCAAGTAATCATTATTTGACCATCATTAAAAATATCTATTATAAATTAATTAATATAAAATATATATTTATTTTAAGATAAATTTTAATATTAAAAAATATATATACTTATTCATTGAACATAATCTCAAAAATTATTAATATTGCATGAAAAATTATATGTTACTCCTAACAAGTCTTGACCAAATAGATGCTTTTCTCTCTGAATTTTATTTATACAATAATGCAATTTATCTGTATTATTTAAAGATACATGAACTTCACATAAATTTTCTACTCCAAAATATAGTTTAATTAAATTGCCTAATATTTAAAATAAATATTAAAATATGTAATTTAAATAATTACAGTATATGTATTATAAATTTTACTTGTTACAATTCGAGTAGAAGTAATATCTAAAAATTCTTTATTTGCTTGATCAACAAGAGCTTGAAGACTTTATTTTATATTAACAGGAGTTCATACAGGTGGTAGAAGTGAATATATATGTATTCCTTTACATACAAGAATCACAAATAGGCATTCTTTGAGATTTAATGGTGTAATTTTATAAAATTCAACCTTGTATAATTTTTTAATAATATGACCACAGTAAATTATATTTTGATTATGATGTGCATTTGCTATAAAATATAAAAACAAATATAGTATAATTTAAAATTATAAAATATAAAAATAATAAATTATTTATTTACCACAATATTTTTTCTTTGATGAATTAGAAAAAACAGTATAACATGTATTTGTAGGTTGACATTGATTACTTTCTGCCTATTATTATATATAAATTAAATTATATATATATAGTATATTAATAATAAATAGAATTATTAATATAATTATATACCTCATATATTCCATTAAATAAGTCTGATAAAATTTTTATATTTATATCAAAAGATACACGCATAAATTGATGATATTTTTTATTAAACTTCCAATTTGCACATCCAATAAAGTATATAAATTCTGTAGAATTTTGCCAAGTTAAATGATGTAATACTGATTTTCCTTCACATAATTTATTATTTTGCTAAAATTTACAAGGAGCTTCTTGAGCAGCTAAATAAAATCTATTGATAAAATATATTAATATATTTTAAAAAAATTTTATATAAATTATTTTTTATAATATTTTCTTTAATAACTTACTCAAAAGTATCATTGCTTAAATTATTAGGTAAAATTTCTTGTATAATACATGTCACAGCTGATCGTAAAATCCAGATCATCGTGAAATTCTAATTTTTAAAATTTTTTGGCTTATATTTTTTTAGGCTTTTTTTTGAATCCAGACTAGTATTTAGGGTTAGGTTTATAATAAAAGAGTATAAATAGGTTTTGTTAGGGTTGTGAGGGCTTATATTTTTTAATTAAGGTCTTAGATTTCATGATGATCCGATTTTACCATAATCTGCGACAATACATATCATAAGATCTGAATCAATATCAACACTTTGATGTGTTTCATTTTGAAGCTTATCAGCAGAAAATTCACATAATTTGGAACCTTGACAAGTATGCATTTTACATTTTACTTCAACATTAAGATAAGGGCATATGATCTTATATTCACCTCCAGGTTTACTAATTGAATATTGTATCTAAATATACAGCATTAATATTATATATTAAAGTAAGTTTAATTAAAATTTATTATTATATTACTTATATCTTTAAATGCAGCTAATGGTTTTTCCCAACCTTCAATATTAAATATATAGGCAATACCTTCCAGACTTGTTGCAAGAAATTCAATGGGTGTTAATATATGATTTACAATATTAGATGTTAATTCTTTGGTAAAATAAGTCACATTATTTTCATTATCTATTTCATATGAAATTGCCGAATCATATTCAAAATCATCAGATTCTTCATCCGAAGTTAAGCTCTATTAATTAATTACTTTAATTAGAAATAAAATTAAATACAGTTGACCCTCTATATAGTCACCTCCCATACAATCACATCATATATAATCATATTTTTATTTAGACCAAACTATGCTTTTAGGGTGTAATGACTTAGTGAAGTGATGGAGTTGTTGCACCCTCAGACGGCAGGTCTAGAGTTCGAATCTCATGGATGATATTTTCAAAAAATAGCTCTGTGATACAGTTAATAGCTATTCAATGATCGGTAGGATCTAGAAATCTGTAATCTTGGTCACACTATCTAGAATGGGAGCTTTGGCGTAATAAATCTGAGATACCGGAAGAACCGAAAACCTGTTTGGCAAGTCTCGAGTTGGGAGGTAGTACGATCTTTGACATTACTACAGGAAGACCAAATTTGAAACCGGAGACTAAGATCGAAGAACCAAGCGACCAGGTCCTTAAGTGGGGGACATACTAGCCAAACTGCCAGGTCACCAAACCGGAGGAAAAGGATATGTGCTCTGGAAGCATGTACCAAGGGAAGGAAGACTATATAGACATCTAAAGTCTATGTGAACCAACCCTTCCGGGTTGCCGGCTGGAAGTAAGGGAGAGACCGATAAAGAA